TATATATATATATATATATATATATATATATACAGAGAGAGAGACTTGGAATCATGTGAGACAAGTCTGTTTTCATAAGACACGTGAGACAAGTTTTTTACACTTGCAACTTCACAGCAAAACGCTGTGAAGGTAACATTCATAGTATTTTTGCTCTGAAGGTTTCGCTTTTTTACCTTCACAGCGGTTTGCTGTGAAGTTTCAAATGTAAATCAAACAAGAACACCTCCATTTTACGAGAATGTGAGAACTCCCATATCACATGTGATAATATGCAAGAGGGGACCCTGTAATGTGCGGACAACGTGTTATACGACTTAGTCGCGCCAAAGGTCGTTTGCATCTATGATTTAGCATCACATGTGATGGTCTTGATGGATTATAATATCATATCAACAACATTCTTATCGCATGTGATAATACATGCGATGGGGTTAGTGGTGTAAGGGCGACTTGGCCCGCAACCAAGATTACTTCGAAAATCGTCCGCGTCTCTCATTTAGTATCACATGTGTATCATATCTGATGGAATAATAGTACAAATGTGATTATCCATAGTAAAAGAGTGTTCTCACATTCTCGTAAAGTGAAGTTGTTGTCGTTTGAACTCTTCCCATATATAGGGGTGAGTTCAATTGTTAACCCAATTTATGGTATTAACTTTGTAAACTCATCACAACCATTTATTTTGTGAATCAATGGATGACAATTATGATGACAGTTTTGTAATAACTAATAATATAGTACATTATCATCTAAAATGAACATACATGAACAATGGTATAATTGGAAAAAATTCATAAATTTGTAATTGTCCATTAATGACATTAATGTTCATATGAAAATTAATCTATCGTCATTAATAAAAAAAAAATTCATCATTATGGACATTAATATACACATGGACATCCTCTATGAACAATGTGATTATGTTCATTAATATTTGAACAATGTTCACAAAGTTTCACTTGACTATTACATCTTTTCATATATTAATAAACAATGAACGTTGTACGCTTAAGAAAATATATTCACCAATGATTTCGCGATATTTTCATCCATACCGTTCATATCACCGAAAACGAATTAACAATACGCTTCAAAAATGTTTACTTGTGATTTATTCACTCAGATTAACAATTTACTCATTGTGTATATTAATATTCACAATTAACAAAAGAACCTAGTGCACGCTCGCTCGCGCTCTCTCTCTCTCTCTCTCTCTCTCTCTCTATATATATATATATATATCAACTCTAGGCAGACACTTTTTATACAAGTTGTTTTTTTTTTGGGTAAAATGCACAAAATAACAATCTACTTTCATAAATTTCTTTATTATAGCATTGTAATTTCAGTTTTTCTTATTATAACAATGTACTTTCAAACTATTTTTTATTAGGACATTGTACTTTGAAAAATTTACCCATTATAGCATTGAGTAACCTTTTGATTTAAATTTACCCATTATACTAGGTTTCCATGCCACCTCATTGTCCACGTAGGTTGTCCACATGTACTATAGTGATGTGACTTTTTTACTAAATCATTGTACTTTCAAAATTATTTTATTATAGCATCTACTATTTCTTATTAAACATTGTATTTTTAATTTTAATATTTAAATATTTTACATGTTATTTTTTAAATATGTTAGAAAAAATTAAATTATTCATTAATATACCAATATCAGTAAAATTAGTAGAACACAACTTATCTTACTGACATTTTTAAAAAAATGTGTTTTTTTGAAAAAAAAAAAAAAAAATTGTTTCTTTTTTACCAAAAAATATTATCTTTTAAAGAATATATTATATTTTTTCAAAAACTTTTACTTGCCGTATAAATATATTAAATTAATTAGATTTTTTTGAATTATTTATTAATATAACAATATTAAAAAATTGTAGATCACAATTTATTTCGTTAACATTTTAAAGAAACCTTTAAAAGATATGTTTATTTGAACAACATAAAATAAGAAATGTTACATTTTTACAAACAAAATATATCTCGAAAATAATGTTTCATATTTATTTAAGAAATATTTTACTCTAGAATATTTAATTTGCATGCAACTTTAAAAAAAGAGTCAAAAAAATTAAATGTTTTTTTAGATCATAGCAATGAATAATGAAAATCACTAATAATTTGAAATAAGTTTTTATTTTTATTTTAGTTAAGTTATCAGATGTGTCATCCACATCACCTTATTAAAGCCACATAAGCAAAAAAGTCAAAGGGTTAACCGGTTTAAAAGGTAACAGGTTACCCATTGCTATTATAGGTAGATTTTGAAAGTACGATGTCTTAATAAAAATAATTTGAAAGTACATTATTGTAATAAGAAAAAACAAAAGTAGAATGTTATAATAAGAAAATTTATAAAAGTAGGTTGCTATTTCATGCATTTAACCCTTAATTTTATTTTTTTTATTTTCAATCCAAAACCAAGGTTTAGAAAAAACACTTACACGGCCCATGGCCTCCTTAAGACTTTGCTTTTCCGCCAAAAGGCCCAACTTCTTGCTTCTAAATCCAATGAATATGCAATTAATTGGGCCAAATATCACACATAGCAACAGGCCTGGATCCCGGCCCCGACTCGTTTCAAGCGTTTGGGTAGTACTAGATTACGAGTCGATGAGCGTTTTGACCTAAAAATCATGTTCGAGCACATTTTTTGTTCAAGACTAGTTACATCATGGTCCGGCTAAAAGAACGATTACGTTCAAAAATCAAAACATTTGGTCACCAGACTTGGGTACCCAACCTTATTATTTGTTTTATTATGTTATTAATAGTTATACATCATACCATAAAATTATTAAGATTTTCCTTTTGATAAAGCTAGTAACAACAATGATTGCGTCTTAAAGAAAATAAATCTACTTTGAGTTCCGTTTTAGTGGTTAACTACTTTACACACGTCATTTAATTAATTTACTCAAAAAAGAAAGTTTATCTAAGTTCGAGAATTTTAAAAAAATATTAGATTGCGTATTTAAAAGTGAAAAAAAAACAAAAAATATATACAATTTAAGAGATCAAAATATATTTCGCATTAAAAAAGAGGAGATTAATATGCTTATTCAGTGATTTCGATGTACAAAAATACTTGAATATTTATCGAATAAAAAACTTTAGAACCTTATACTTGTAGTTACTCTATTTATCACAATGACACCAAGTCGTCCATAAGATTTGTCAAAAATCTGGTCGTCCCTCATGGTGCGTTTGGCATGCAGACTGGGTGGGACAGGACGAGACAAAAAATAAATAGTTCCATTTTTGGTGTGCCATGAGACAAAAATGAAATGAGACAACATGAGACAAAAGTAAGATTGAGTGGGACTACTCTTGAGTTTTTTTTAATAACCCAAAAAGGTAGAACATAGGACCTAAATTTGAGCTTACAATATTGCCCTTATTATTTGATATCAAAATACAAACCTAATTTAATTGCATCATTTTTCTTCTCTTCCAGAGCCTCCATTGTCGATTCCAGCCTCCATTCTTGAAATGTTAAACTTTTGATAAAATTATTTACAATTGTTGTGTTTAAACTTTTTAAATTATGTGCGTATTTAAAATTTGTGGTATGACAAATGTTATTTACATGTGGTATTGGAATGTTAAAAAAAATATTGATATCATAGATTAAATAATTTAAATATATATTTGGTTGATTTGTTGTCATTTACAATCATTATATGATATAAAAATAACATTGAACAACATTTAGGGGTAATACGGTCATTTTAACAGTTTCGTCCTGTCTTGTCCTAGTCGTACCAAACATAGGACAAACAATTAGTCTTGTCATGTCTTGTCCCGTCTCAGTTCTATTCTATTTGTACCAGATACTACCTTACATTTGGAAAGTTGTTACAAATTTGGTCAACATTGTTAAATAACTTCCATTAAACCTCTCATGTTTTGTTCCAATACTGTTCAATTTTGCCTTTTATTCATGTCCAGTTCTATCATGTCCAGTCCAATGATATTTGACTACTCAATGTTACCAAAGCGCACATTTTTTTTTGCCAAGGAAGGAAGTTGGGGGTGTAAATGTTGTATTCAAGAGAAGATAGAGGGGGAAGAATGTAAATGAAGAAAAATAAAAAGTAGCATATAATTCGAAAAGCCCATCTTCCTCCACCTTCTTCTCCATAACCATCAGAACCAGAGGATAAGGTTTCCTCCATTTCTTCCACCATGTTATCTTTAACTGTAAATTCCCCCAAGCCTACCTCTAATTTCCTCAATTCCTCCTTTCTCTCCTCCCCAATTCCTTTGCCTTCCCACCATATCAACAGACCCACCAAATTCCTACCAAAATCTATCTCAGCCACCATTATCCCCTCCTCAAATCCAACGCCGCAGCAAAAACTCTACCAGCCCTTCCGTCCACCACCATCCCAATCCCCAATTCCACCTCAATTTCGTAACCTCGACACAGCAGGCCGCCTTGATGTTCTTACCAATCGTCTAGGTCAGTGGTATGAGTACGCCCCTCTCATCCCTACTCTCATTCGGGAAGGATTTGCTCCACCCACCATAGAAGAACTAACTGGCATCACTGGTGTTGACCAGAATCGACTCGTTGTAGCTGCTCAGGTTCGTGATACATTGGTTCAATCGGGTGTTGAGGCGGAAACCCTCGAGTTTTTCGACAAGGGTGGTGCAGAATTGTTATATGAGATCAGGTTGTTGAGTATTAACCAGCGTGCAGCGGCAGCCAGGTACATGCTTGAAAATAAGTTTGAACCGAGCGATGCGCAGGAACTTGCTAGGTCAATCAAGGATTTCCCTCGTCGACGCGGCGATCGTGGGTGGGATTGCTTTGATTACACGATTCCAGCGGATTGTTTGGCATTTATGTACTATAGACAGGCGCTCGAAAACCGGGAATCAGAATTGCGGACGTCCGCATTGGAAAAGGCATTGGCCGTGGCTGTTTCTGAGCGAGCAAGAGAGTGGGTGACAAAGGAATTGGATGGAAATGACGAGACTGCAGAAGGGGAGGGAAGAGGTGGAGGTGTTGTTGATGGGGTGAAAGTTCCGGTGGTGAGGTTGCATCTTGGGGAGATTGCGGAGGCCACGGTGGTGGCCGTTTTACCGGTTTGTGGGGCGGAGGAGAGGGAGAAGGGGGTGGAAGCAGCACCTTGGGAAAGTAGGTGTAAAGGGGATTTTGGTATAGTGGAGGCAGAGAAAGATTGGAGGAGATGGGTGGTGTTGCCTGCGTGGGAGCCGGTGGTACGGATGAAAAGAGGCGGAGTAGTGGTGGCATTTGCTGATGCAAGAGCTTTGCCATGGAGGGTGAACAGGTGGTATAAGGAAGAAGCTATCTTGGTGGTGGCTGATAGAGGTAGCAAAGAGGTGGTGGCTGATGATGGGTTCTATTTAGTAGTGAGTGAAGATGAGTTGAAGGTGGAAAGAGGATTGGCATTGAAAGAGAAGGGTGTTAAAGAAAGTCTAGGAAATGTGGTTATAGTTGTTAGGCCACCAAGAGATGATAATGAGAATGAGTTGGCTGATGAGGATTGGGAATGAAACAGCAAGGAAAGGAATTGATGATTTTGAAGTGGTTGGATTGTTGTCATCCCCTTGAGGTTAGTGAGTGAAATATACACCTCTGTTGTACAACTGAGTCATGTTGTATGGTCTTATTTTTCTGTAATATGAATAGCTGAAAAGTGGAAAGTGATTAGCAATAAAAGCTTTTTTTGATCAGCTCTAAATTAAGCTGTATATGAATGAGTGATGATAGATAAAGGCCAAATCTTTTGGTTGAGTTGATGTTGTCCTCCTGTCTAAAATTTGGTACCAAGAAGACACCATTCTCATCTTAAGAAGGAAAGGAGGTGTGATGAAGAGTGATCTTTTGAGCTTATAGATCAAGGATACATATGGGAGAACTGCCTACAAGATCTATTATGAATAGGAATTCATACTTCTATTGTGTTGTTTCTTTTTTGCAATTGGATTTCATCTGTGTGTTGATGATATCTATATATATTAAAAGAGAAACCAAATAGTTATACATAGGAGAAACCAAGTAGAATGGATTGAGACTATGAGATTTGAGTATTCTTTAAATCTTGAAATATGGTTAAGCTTGTCTATCACATGTTGATGGGAAGAAAGATAGCAGAATGAAGTGTTTCATTTGCAATTGTTATTATGAGATTTGAATATTTTTCTTAAATTTTGAAATGTGGTTAAGTTTGTTTATCTCATATAAAAAATGATTTTAAAATATTGAGAGTGATATATTTTAAAATCTTGCATTCTAGATGGTTTTTGGTAATTCCGCATTGATGAAAAATAGATACTTTGATAGAGTGATATAAGTATATATAAAAATAAGCATGTGATGCTTTCGAAAATTAAAAGAGCAATATAACTATATAAGCCATTTTTTGGCCTCTAACTAGTTTTTATTATTATTATAATGGAACAACTTTGAGGTGACATTATAAAATTTGAGTATTTCAAAATCTTGAATTTGATTTTATTTTGGTTATTCCACATAGGTCGTAAGATGATAAATTAGAGAATAGATATGTGTATATCAGGTTATATTTTTGCAACAAGATTTATCTATATAAAAGTTAAGGAGAAAATGAAATTATTAAAAGAACAATCAATGATGATGAGATGATTTCATGGATTTGAGTAATTTTCTAAATCTTGAATTTTGGTTTGGTTGGTTATCTCGCACATCTGATGAGACGATGACTCGTTGGAAAGAGTTTGATATACAAAGGGAGGAGAAATATATTTCTGTCAACTCACATGGATGACTCATTTTGGCCACAAAAAAAATTGTGAAACAAGTATTTATATAAAATATTAATTAAAAAACAAAATCATCCATCAATATATATACTAAAAAAACAACAATTGATGATTAGGTGGCTTCATATCAATTTTAACATTGGTTCTTATTAGTTTATATTTGACACATAAATGATCAGACCACTTAACTTAGTTCAATATTTTTTCTTAAAATAAATTATCGTCATCGTGCAACGCATGGTGTACAACACTAGTTATATGTTACATACGAGTCCATTTGCTTTGTGGGATTTGATGAGATTTGGAATTGGATTCCATTTTAATCTTGCATTTGATTTAAAGAAAAGTCTGAATTTGGAATCCACAAACATTGGATTTAGAAATCCCATGGGGTAGTTGGTATTTTACGAGATTTCATATGATTTATCTATACCTAATGTTTTAAAGGTTAAGTTAATTTATCGTTCTTGTGGTTTGTCAAACATTCCTATGGTTGAGAAATTGTGGTTTTTCGTCTATATGATTTGTAATTCATTGTTATCTTCGTTCTTATGAGTTATAATTTATTGTTATTTCGGTCCCCGTGGTTTACCATTCTTCATTTTTTAGTCTCTTATACTTAAATGTAGGAATTTAGTCCAGAGAAAAAAAATAAGAATAAATTATAAATCACAAGAACGAAAATTGTAATTTCTAAACCATAGGATGAAAATGAAAATTATCAACAAACCATAGGGACTAAAATTGTAATTTGCTCTGTTTTAAAATATGTTAAGTTTAACTAACTCCCATTGGGCTTTTATACTTCTGGGCTTGGGCTTCAACCAATGGGCTTATCCAAACACTTTAAGTTTAACTAACTCCCATTGGGCTCAAATGAAGTCCAATCCATTAATTCTTAAGTTCGCATGCAGCCTTAAAATACTTGTCACACACACTCACACAGCAACAAATACAATTTTAAACCTCTTTTGCCCAAATGAATTACGATCCAATTCAATATACCAACCGATTACATGGTCGAAAAGGTGAAATAATATGATTCGTAGTTCTGTAGCGTATATTTGCTAAACTGAATTAAACCGAGAATTTATGAGTTGTCAGGAATATATTTCCAAAACATAAACCTATTATGAACGTTATTAAACTGAAACAATCGTGTATGGATGTGAAATTGAACGATGGTAGGTCTTTCGTACGCACCTTCTCAAACCTCATATCATTTATATTTCATATCTGAAATGCATACCATGATATAAAGTTCCCAAAATATACAATTGTTTTAAGATAGAAAACTCAGTCATTTCTAAATAAAACATATTTGTCGAGGCTAGATGCATGTTCGTCACCTTTTCTTTCTAGATATGTTCATATAATTTAAGTATATTGAATGAGTTACGAAATTCTATGTATAGGATCGTATACTATTTTGGCCATGCACCAAGGATAGTCATTCATTAAAGTAACACATATCTATAGAGGGTCAATTATTTATATTAAATATGACCGATAAGTGCAAAAAAAAAAAAAATTAAACGAGTAAACAAATCAAATGATTGGCCAAAACTAAAACCAACATGAATTTTAATACTTTGATTATTTTATGATCTTATATGTTTTATTGTTATGTGTCAAAAGTTTACAATTCTATTAAACAAATTGGTTAATAACATTGAGCCTTTCGTATTTTCTGATCTTGGTTTGAAACAAAAGAGAAGTGTCAAGAATTAGCGTAAAGATTACGCAAAAAGTAAAAACGACCCAAACAAGCCCTATGCATCATGGTGAAACTCTTCTATGTGTATGCACATCTCGTACTTGTATATATGGTTTATGTTTTTGTTGTTTGAAGTTGTAATAGTATAAGATAATTAATCGTTCAACTCTATAACAAATTCAGTTATTTAAAAACTTAATAATATGAAAAGAATCTTATATTGTTAAGAACGTTGATTATGGAAGATGGATGAAAAATTTCGAAATCAAGGCAAACAACAGACGTTGTCACAGTTAGTATGAAACTAAATATTTGACACATAAATAAGTAATCACTTTATCATATTACTGAAAACTTATTCTAGTAAAAATACTTAAAAAATCACTTCCGACCGGACGTTTGGTCCTCTTAGACGGTCGTAACTATTATGGGTCCGTCAGTCTATACCAGTCCGAACTGCACAAAAAAGAAATCCTAAAAAAGTTTAATATTACTTTCGTGAAAACAAGTCCAGACACCCAGGTTTCCAAAACTGGTCAATCTTTATGTTGTTCACCCTGACAAGAAGGATATGGTCATTTTTTAGACCGACCATTAATTTCAAAAAATATAACTCGTCTAGACATAAAGGACCAAAACTGTTTTTTTTTTATTTCAATCTTAGATTAATATCTACAGTTTATCCTTAAGTTTTTTTATATCTTTATGTTACATGATAAGGATAAATATATGAAGATGAAATCAAAAATAAAGTTGAAGTTACATTCGGATGTCCCACGAGAAGCATTAATTTTGAGATTGTTATTGATGTGGACATGATTTATCTATGATATCAAAATGCCTTTTTTTTTTTTAATTATTATCTTATCTTCAAATTAATTAAATTAAAAATAAATTCCACAATGTTGACTTCTTTGTTGTTGTATTTTAGTATTTTTTTAAATTAATTGCAAAATCATAAAAAAAATCCAAATTCCAAGGTAAATGATTCACGGGGCTATAACAAGGTCCTACACGCATGCAACCAAAAGAATAAAACATCTTCTAATTTTCTTAAATAAGAATATTTTATTATTAAATAAGAACTCACCAAAATCACAAACATTCGTCACAAAATCAAACTACATGGGATTTCCACAAACAAATTACTATTTATAATTTTTTTTATAAATGATAGAATTCAATTTCATTCTAAAATCCTAAAAACCAAATATTCCAAATCCCTTTACAAAATCCAAACCTCAAAATCATTTCGTCAAACCAAACACCTCCTAAGTTTCCTATTTCCAATCGATGGGTAACCAAAATATTGGAGGCATTGAGTCCGTAAGGAGTCGTTGGCATGCTTAACGATCATGCCTTTGTTGTAATATTTACAACTAGAAACTAACAAAAAGAAACAAGATTTACGAACATAGACAAATGATATATCATAAAATGATTGGTTTTTTTTTAACCGGTCATTGATTTATGTCATAATATTCACCAATCATTCGTTTTCAATGAAGTGTGATCAAAACCAACCATCTAGGTTTGTTTGTTTGTTTGTTTTATTGAAAATTTGAGGTTTGGTTTTAATAATCGATATTGTTCAAACGTATCAATCGAAAATGTTTTTAGTGTTCTTCACAAGTTTTAATGGACCCAATATATATTTGGATACCCCTTAAACTTATACCACAAGAGATCTTATCGTAACATAGATTTTTCTATATCGAGAAAAAAAGTCAACAATTACAAAATTGAACAATTCAAGACTTTTGCCGAATAAAATTGCACTCGTACAACTAATATTATATTATTACTACATCTCAAGTGTGTTAAGTATTTTTATTTTTACAACTTTTATAAAAATAAATATAAATTTTATCATATATCAAAATTAATATCGTTATGGATGAATGAGTATGATCATCGCTCCACCTCTTGAAATTCCTTTTGGACGCCTTTGTTGACTTAAATAATGATATGGTATCGTTGTTAACCTTGTTGTAGGTTGTGCCACCTCCTGCATAGATTCTTTTAAATAGAGAACGAAACTTCAAAGTATTTAAATTAAAGAAGAGTAACTTATGGATTCGGTCCCTGTGATTTGGTGGTTTTTACGAAAATCGTCTATGAACTTCATTTTCTACTTATTAGGACTCGTGGTATATCATTTGTAATAAATTGGTCCCTTCTTCTAATGGTCATCCAGTTTCTCTGTTAACCTTGAGGATATTTTCATCATTTT